GCTTCAGTCAATTTTTTTTCCTTAAGATTAAGATTAATCTAGCCATTTGTGGGGTTTTTGTAGTTCTATATGAATTGTAGAATTGCTTTTTTCTATTTCTGTAAAAAATGCCACAGAATTTTAATAGGGATTGCATTGAATTTGTAAGATTACTTGGGGTAGAATGGAAGTTTAAACAATATTAAATCTTGCAATACATGAACATAGGATATCTTTCCATTTGTTTGTGTCATCTTTAATTTTTTGTTCAGTATTTTGTAGTTTTCAGTGTACAAGTCTTTCTTCTCCTTAAATTTATTCTTAAGTATTTTATTCTATTTGGTGCTGTTGTAAATAAGATTGTTTTCCTAATTTGCTTTTCATATCATTTGCTGTTAATATACAGAAACATGACTTCTGTATGTTGACTTTGTATCCTGCAACTTTACTGAATTTATTTACTAGTTCTAACAGGTTTTATTTTTTTAATGGTGTCTTTAAGGTTTTCTATATATAAGATCATGTTATCTGCAAACAGTGACAATTTTGTCTTCCTTTTCAAAGTGAATGCCTTATATTTCTTTCTTTCTCTCTCTCTTTCTCTCTCTCTTTCACTTTTTCTTTCTTTCTTTCTTTCTTTCCTCCCTCCCTTCCTTCCTCCCTTCCTTCCTTCCTCCCTTCCTTCCTCCCTTCCTTCCCTCCTTCCTTCCTCCCTTCCTCCCCTCCTTCCTCCCTTCCTCCCTCCCTCCCTTCCTTCCTTCTCTCCTTCCTTCCTTCCTAGGACCTCCAGTAATGTGTTGAATAGAAGTGGCCAAAGTGGGCATATTTGCCTTCTTCCTGATCTTAAAGGAGAAGTTTTCAGTTTTTCACTATTGAGAACGATGCTAACTGTGGACTTTTCATACTTGGACTTTATTATTTTAAAATATTCTCCTATTCCTAGTTTACTGAAGGTTTTCATCATGAAAGGATGTTTGTTTTAATCAGTTGTTTTTTCTGCATCTATTGAGATGATCATGTAATTTTTAAATTGTTTATTCTATTAATGTGATGCATCACATGAATAGATTTTTATATGTTAAATTACCCTTGCATCCAAGGGATGAATCCCTCTTGGTCATTGTGTGTGATCCTTTTAAGGCAGTGTAAGATTTTGTTTGTGAGTATTTTGTTAAGGATTTTGGCATCTACATTTATCAGGGAAATTGGTTTGTAGTTTTGTGTGTGTGTGTGTGTGTGTGTGTGTGTGTGTGTGTGTGTGATGTCTTTGCCTGACTTTAGTTTCAGGGTAATGCTGGCCTCATAAAATGAGTTTGGAAGTGTTCCTACTATTTTTGGAATACTTTGAGAAGGATTGGAGTTAATTATTCTTTAAATGTTTGGTAGCATTTACCACTGGAACCCTAGTCCTGGGCTTTTCTCTGATGGTGGGGTTTTGACTATAGATTCAATCTCCACACTAGTTATAGGTATGCTCAGATTTTCCATTTCTTCCTGAATTAGTCATAATAGGTTGTAATTTTCTAGGAATTTATCTATTTCTTCTAGGTTATCCATTTTATTGGCATATAATTGTTCACAGTAGTCCTTTATGATCCTTTTCATTTCTGTGGCATCAGTTATAATGTCTCCTATTTCATTTTGGAATGTATTAGAGTATCTTCTGGGAATTTTTTTATTAGCTGGTTTAGCTAAAGGTTTGCTAGTTTTATCTTTTCAAAAAACCAACTCTTGACACTTCTATTGTTGTTGTTTGGACAATTCCAATCATTTTATTGATATAGAAAATGAGACCAAAAGAGACACTTTAAAAAATTTTCAAAGCGCCATCATTAGGATTAAAGGAAACGCAAATTGTTTTCCTCTGTTTAGTGATCTCTTCACAATAGCATTTCAGTATAAACTATCTATCTGTTGTATATATATGTATATGTGTTTACATTATATACATTTATATCTATATATACTTATAACACTATAAATATACATGTATGTACATAAGTGTTCTAACTCATTTTTTAGGACAAGCAACAATCAGAGCAATATGGTTATAATCAGTCATCTTACCTCCTTAGACTCCTCAAAGGAATAAAAATAGACTTAACATATGACCCAGCAGTCCCATTCCTGGGCATGTATCCAGAGGGAACTCTAATTTAAAAAGACACCTGCACCCCAATGTTCATAGCAGCACTATTTAAAATAGCCAAGACATGGAATCAACCTAAATGTCCATTGATAGATGACTGGATAAGGAAGTTGTTGTATATTTATACAATGGAATACTACTCAGCCATAAAAATGATAAAACAATGCCATTTTCAGCAACATGGATGGACCTAGAGATTGTCATTCTAAGTGAAGTAAGGCAGAAAGAGAAAGAAAAATACCATATGATATCACTTATATGTGGAATCTAAAAATAATAATAATGCACAAATGAACTTATATATAAAACAGAAACAGACTCACAGACATAGAATACACAAATGAACTTATATATAAAACAGAAATAGACTCATAGACATAGAATAGAGACTTGTGGTTGCAAGGGGGTTGGGGGTGGGAAGGGATAAACTGGGAGTTCGAGATTTGCAGATATTGACTAGTATATATAAAATAGATAAACAAGTTTATACTGTATAGCACAGGGAAATATATTCAATATCTTGTAGTAGCTCACAGTGAAAAAGAATATGAAAATGAATATATGTATATTCAGGTATGACTCAAGAATTATGCTGTATACCAGAAATTGACACAACATTGTAAACTGACTATACCTTAATAAAAAAATTTTTTTAAATAATAATAATCGTACCTACTTAGAAAATATATAATACTTTTGAACTATTTATATCTTAATATATAATTTAAAATTACATACATCTTCTACAAAAACTAGCAACATTGTTTATCTTATATTGTCAACAATATAATTTACAAGAAAGAATTACTTTGGTAACATACAGTTACTGATTTTCAGAATAGATTTTTTAACACTTAAAAGTTCCCAAGTGATATTTACTAGTAAATCTGTATATTTTTCTAAATGACCTTGGTTATGGATTTCTTTTCTTTTATTGAGATACAGTTGGTGTACAATATTATGTAAGCTTCAGGTGTACGATGCAGTAACTCACAATTTTTAAAAGTTATATTCCATTTATAGTTATTATAATTTATTGGCTATATTCCCTGTGTTGTACCATACATCCTTGTAGGTTATTAATTTCATACATAGTTGTTTGTACCTCTTAATCTCTTACCTCTATCTTGCCCCTCCCTCCTTCCCTCTCCCTACTGGTAACCACTAGTTTGTTCTCCACATCTGTGAGTCTGTTTCTTTTTGTTATAGTCACTAGTTTGTTTTAATTTTAGATTCCACATAGAAATGATATCAAGCAGTATTTATCTTTCTCTATCTGACTTGTTTCAGTTAGTATAATGCCCTCCAAGTACATCTGTATTATTGCAAATGGCAAAATTTCACTCCTTTTTTATAGCTGGGGTAGTATTCCATTGTCTATTTAAACTGCACTGTCTATATCCATTCATATATTGATGGTCGCTTAGGCTGCTTTGTTTCCGTATCTTGGCTATTGTAAATAATGCTGCTTTGAACACTGAGGTGCATGTATCTTTTCAAATTAGTGTTTTCTTTCTTTCTTTCTTTTCATTTGAATAAATACCTAGGAATGGAATTGCTCATATGGTAGTTCTATCTTTAATTTTCTGAGAAACTTCCATACTGTTTTCCATAGTGGCTGCACCAATTTACATTCCCATCAACAGTGGATGAGGGTTCTCTTGTCTCCACATCTTCTCCAACATTTGTTGTTCTGTTTTAACTGCAGAACATCTTCTACACACACAATTCTTCCAATATAAGCACTGGATTGTTTCTAGCCTTGGATGCTTCATGCCCCCAGATGTTTTCCCTGTTTACCTCTTAAAGTAACCAGCACTTTAGAGTGTCCACTTAGGGACAGAGCTATAGACTGAATAGAAGGCTCATCAGATTTGCAAAGGCCCACTGGAATGTTTCTCTGAAATGTCAGCCTCCAGCAAGACAAAGACTACCCATGATGACTGGGCGCTTTCTGGTCCCTTGGCTCTCCATTCTGCAGGCAGTCTGCCAAGCTAAGAGTTTCTTTAAAAACTGGCAGAATCTCCCAAGGTTCTGTGTTTGGGCTTTGGGGGTCACTTTGTCACTGTAAACATCCAGGACTTGGTGTGTTCCCTGTCTGACTATGCGCCAAATCCTCTCCTCGGTGAGCAGTCAGCTGGGAGATCTGGTTCTGCTTGAAATGCAGATTCCCTGGGCTAAAAGTCATGTGCAGCAGCTTCTTGATTCCAGGGAGAATGGCAATTGCTTCTCACCCTGCCAGATGGCAAGCAGGATTCATTCTGCAAGCATTCATTGGAGGGTGTGAAGAAAAGAGGATGTGCTTTAGAATCACACTAACTCAGGATCCACCACCACTTATTCATTATAACTTTGGGTAAAACTGTCAGCTGCTTTAAGGCCATGCTTCTTGTTTTTTGGTTTTTGTTTTTTTTTCATTTGCAAGATGTGAATAATAATATTTTCCTTTTGGCATCATATAAAGTTTATGTTTAATGTATGTAGGAATTCCTAGCAGAGAGGCTGGCACGTGGATGAGAATTGATAAATGGCAGCTGTTATTTTTTATGCAAAGAAATAAACAAATGATCACAAGGAATGTGACGAAACACACTGTCTAATCTTCACACTTCATTTTTTCTTCACATAAGGACACTGAGTCCTATAATCGCCATACATTCTAATCACTGAGAACATTTTGTCTGCTTTCTTCCTATTGTCAAAATTGAGTTCTTCTTTTGCTGTAGAGAGCTCCAACCTAAATCATATTTGTCCTCAATTCAGGTGAAACTGGGCAGACCTGCTGAGGCCATTTTTGTATTTTTCCATTTCAAGAGAATGGACAGTGAGCGTGTGATAACCTGGACAAGTATGGTGGTCCAGTGTGGCAGGGAGAGGCAGTTGTGAGTACAGTGTGGTGGACTCTCACTAGGTTGTCCTGCGTTATATGAACAAAGGAGACAGGGGTTCAAAAAATAGAGAACTATTTCACTAAAAACCATGTGAGAATTGGAGACTGATGGGTACCCTCCTTGGAGTCCAACATTAATACTGTTGCATGAGTAGTGGTCAGAAGTACTTTTGCCAAGTGAGATGTTGCTGGGGCATACTGGAATGTGAAAGAATTTGGAATGGAAACTAGAAATGATTACTCATTGCCCTGTCCAGTGAACCATTTGGTTTATCTCTACCTTTCACTGCCTTTGAGCAACTAAAAATAATGTGAATGATTCTCGTCTACAGAAATAGAGATTAACTGCATTCAGTGGAATTCAACTATTGCCCTATGGATATGCCTGTTTTGCATCTAAGTTAATTTTAACATCTCTTGTCTGGCTGTGAATGTGTGGTACTTTAAATTCACCACTGAACCAGTTTAAAGAAACATCTTACTCACTGCATTCTTATCATTCTAATATTATTATAATAAATTATTAGATTATATATAGGTAAAAATGTAACACTTGACAAGTACTCTTTTTATATCTGTATGAGAGACATGGTTATACTCTCTTTAAAATCATCTTTTCATTGTTGGGACATCGTTCATTGAGATGCCCAATGGACTCACCTGACAGGCAGGTAAAATGCCTCAGGGTGGCCCTGATGTTAGGTGTGGAGTGTAAGCCCTGGTGTTGGATATCTCCAGGGGCCCTCTTCCTTTGTGTTCAAAGTCAGCAACTGCCCCTGTAGCCTAACATGATTCCATTCACACTGAAGACTCTGGCTGAAACTAGAGGCCTGTGGAGAATTTTCCAGTCAACTCTTGTCTTCATTTCCCCTGCTAGTTTGCAGCTAACGAACTTCTGTGTTTTAGGGGAGCCTCCTGGATTTCTTTAGGTGCAAGATTTGGGGAAAGACAGGTGTGAGTGAAAAATACTGCAAGCCATATCAGTAAACAAAGAATGCTGAAGCCATCAAGTCATCAGCCACTGCCACCACCCCCAACAAGTAATCTTTTAATGTTCTGACTACCTGGTCTTTGTTGTAAAACTCCTATATATCCTAGCTCCCTGCTACCTCTTCGGAGCAGTCCCTCAGAGCCATCTGAGTGGCTGTCATCCTGGCTCAAGTCCTCAGAAACGTCCACCGAATAAAACGTAACTCTCAACTTTTAGGTTGTGCATTTATTTCAGTTGACACAGGGAACAATCTACTGGAAACAGTGAGTCCTACCACTTCCACCATCTCTTTGGACAGGTCTCCAGTTAGCTGTCTTGTGTATAAATCCTGCCTCACTGACTCAGGCTCTAGGTGTCTCTGTAGTTGAGCAAATCCTGGCATCCGGAAACCACTTGTTCTATGACCCAAACCAGCCACATTACCCTTTGAAGCCACTGCTTCTCAGACGTGTGAAGTCCCTGAACTTCAGATACAGGAAAGTATCACAGGGTTGAGAGCCACCCTTTAGGGTTCCCAAATCCTGACTTTCTCACCTATTGTTTAAGTAGGGCTCTCTGAGTTTCAGGATGGGAGAATGAAATTTGTATTACAAGTGGGTCTGTTGTATAATCAAATCATGCAGAGTAGAACTCAGTCTTCCCAGGCTATAGATTTCACCCCACTCTGACAGAGCTAACAGCTGCTTTTCTAGGCCCAAGACCGGGACCTGGGGAAGAATGAAGAGATGGGATGGAGACGAGCCAGGATGGACCAAGCTGCTTGAAATGTCTCCAGGTGTTGAGCCCACAGGTCATGCACAGGGAGCTCTAACCATGAGAACCCACATGCAATCTGCCTTGTTTTTTGGTGGCTCCAAATTCTTTGATACCTTTTGTTCAGCCTAAGGGCCAGGACCCAGCTCCAGATCACTTGTTGTGGGTGTCCTGGGAGGAAGCATGTCTTAATTCCTCCAGGTACGTGAAGATCACAAGGCTGAGACCCAACCCTGATGCGCAAACTGAGTCAAAGGCAAGATCTGGCATATTGTCGTCAAGCATGGCTGGAGACAGGCACCACAATCATGACCCATCATGTGTTGTCCATGCTTAAGATAAACTCATTCACACTTGCACCAAGAAGGTTCCCCTCTTGTCCGCACGGACCCAATCAGGCATGGAATAGAGGACCACAGGAGGTCCTGTGTGATGATGGTGCCATCCACTTCTTCCCACCTGTGGGTGAATCCTTCTTTTCTACCACACCACTTCTCATCACTCTGTCTCAATTACCCCCAGGCTCCTGTGGCTGTACCATGAACATTTCCACAACTGATGAGTGGTCCTTCTGTTCTGCTATAAAGTCAGCCAAGTATCATGGAGAGTCTCCATGAAGCAGGTGGTCCTTTGGAAAGATGCTCACCCAGAGCAGAGACCTCATGATCAAGTTCAAAGTTGTCCCTGGACAGCATGAGACCCCAGACACAACAGATCCTCTTCTTAGTCCTCACCTTGTCTCTCCTTCTCTCCCAGGGTCCACCAAAGTAATGCCCCATCCCCAAACACATCCCTCCCAGTACTACCTGTCTCTGTATCCATTAGACACTTGTGGGTGGAGGTCAGGTTAGCAAGTCCAGGACCAGAAGAAATGTTTATGCCCCTGATTTGAATCCTGTTCGCATCCTGGCTAGAGAGTGTCCTCAATGCTGCTTGGAGACATGTAAGGATTTCTTGCCCATGCCTGAAAATAGAAGGTCTGCCTCTCCCTTCCAGCTCTGCTAAGACTTTCCTCTGTCCTTTCTGTCCTCTGGCATTCTACTTGTGGGAGGAGCAAGAGGAGAGAAAAGAGAACACTGTACATCCCTCAGTTCACCTGGATCTCTGAGGTCCACCAGGAACTAACATACTCACGAGGAGTCCTGCATCACTCAAAGAAGGCTGTTTGCACGTTCACTGGGATGAGATATATGGAGGATGTGTCAGTGGTGCTGATGGACACTTTCTTTGGGGAAGGAGTAAGAAAGGCCCAAAGCAGCCTCTCAGAGCACCTCCCCCACAACCAAACACCCACCCCCAACAACTCCTCGAGGATGTGGGAAGGGTGGACTGCTATCCATCGCCATTAATACTGAGCTCAGAAGGAAGGACAAAGCCATGTCCCCAGACTTCCTCAACAGGAGGATGGAATCAATAGGGCCAGTGACTGCTCTTCCTGCTAAGAAACCCAACACGAGGGACTGCTCCCTCACTTTTTTTAATGATTTTTTCTGGGTTGGGGGGTAGGTAATTAGGTTTTTATTTGTTTATTATTGTTATCTTTAGTGGCAGTACCGGGGGTTGAACCCAGGACACTCTACCACTGAGCTATCCCTTCCCCTCTTGCTCCCTCACTTCTGAACTCAGGGCCTAGCTTCCTCCAAACCTCACATTCTAATTCTTGTGCCACACAAAGCTACTTGCCTTTTCTGCAGGAGAAGTGGGCATTTTCTGGCCCTATTAGGTCTGTGTGATCCAATCCCAGCCCCCAGGCTCTCACACAGGCTCTGTGCAAAGTTTAAGACAGTGAGGAAATAAGGGGATGGACTGACTGAACCAGGCCCTAAGGCTGAGTCTTTATTTCTCACTTGGACAAGCTGCTGAATATTTTTGTAGTAGTTTTCCTATTATTCCCCCACCACCAACTCAATGAAAGTTTTGGGAAACCCTTATGTATTTCAAAGAAAGGTTACCTTAGAAGGTGGAGATGAAGGAGCCTTGGATGGTCGGTGGGTTTATGAAGCCCCTCTTAACCTCCCTCCAGCAAGCAGGGAAGCTTCTAGAAGCCTAAGCAAGTGCTCAGCCTAGTTTGACCTCTTCCTTCTCAGAGCCTGAGTTCTAGGCATGCTCTGAGCCTGGACCTCCCCATGGCACAGACAGAGGACACCTCTCTCCTGCAGTCCCCTATTGGAAGGAACAAATGCATTTGGAAAGAATAAATCTCCTGTGTTATAAGAAGCAGGGATCATCCTCCGCAGAGGATGTGCTAGTATGAGGACTAGTGGAGTTTCTGAGAACTGGATGGAAATGTTTCTTTGAGTGAAACGCCTTCATAGCAGAGGATGGAGGGGGGTTCTATGGTTGCTGTCGAGACACGTGCCCAAAGAGGGAGCCAGGAACAGCAGTGAAGTGCCCTGCCTCCCTGGCACCTGTGTTGGCTCCTGGCAGATCCCAGAGGGGTCCCAGGCCCCAGTGTGTGAAAAGAGGATTCCTCAGCCACAGCTGTTGGTTCTAGGATCTCCCAGATCTGTCTCTATCATCTTTTATCTGCCTCTTTCTGCCTAAAAATTACAGGCTTTGGAGCCTGCATGAATGTGGAACTAACCTTTTCTTTGCTCAGGGGGTGAACCAGCTCCACGATTTTTCATGTGAGAGATCTGGATGTCACATGATAACCCCAGGTGCCAGGAAGGAACCACAGGGAGAGAGGAGGCAGGAGCCATGCTCATATCACTCAAGTGCCAGACCCTGTGCTGGGCCCACCCTCCTTGTCATCACGGCTCATCCTACAGGCATCCGTTACCACAGTTCAGCCAGAACCATGAGGCTGCCAAGGCAAGCACCTCTTACAGTCAGACAGTCACAATTCCTTGTTTCCCTCACCTCTGGAAGAGTCTAGTTCATCTGCAACATAAGGGAAGGGAAATGTGAAGGCTGTGACTGCCCAGGGAGGCTCAGTCCATCATTGGGGTCTCCTCGATGGCTCTTCTGGACAAATTGCATCTGCACATTCTGTCTACTCCCACTGAACTTCACATCGTCAAGGTTAATATGCATTTTCTTATTAGTTTATTTACTTATACTTAACATTGTATCTTGGTGTATAGATGCCTGGTGCTAGTCTAAGTACTTTGGAAATATTAACTCTCTCTTTATATATTATATATTATATATATTACAGTTATTTATTATATAGTATCTATATATTATATATTATATAACATGTAATATATTATATTATATACTATTATATACATATATATAATTATAATTATGTATTTTATATATATATATGTATATATATATATTCAGCCATAAAAAAGAAAAGAATCCTGTCATTAGTATCCTGAAGATACTATGCTAAGTGAAGTTAACTTAGACAGAGAAAGACAAACACCATATGTGGAATCAACAAACAAACAAACAAACCTTACAGAAAAAGAGATCAGATTTGTGGCTGCCAGAAAGGATGGGAGAATCAGATGAACGTTGTGAAAAGCAGAAACGTTGAGTTACAAGATAAATAAACACTGAGGATGTAAGGTACAACATGACGACTGCATTTCACAATGCTTTATGATGTGTTTGAAAGCTGCTAAGGGAACTGATCCAAAGAGTTCTCATCACGAGTGAAAAAAGTTTTTTGTGATTCTGTGGAGTGATGCATGTTAACTAAATTATTGTGGCAATCATTTCGCAATGTAAGTATGTAAGTCAAGCCATGATGCTGTACACTTTAAACTTCTATAGTGCTGTGTGTCAATTATACCTCAGTAAAACTGGGGGAAGCAAACCCACCAATAACAAGATGCCTCTTGAATCAGATGCGTAACTGCCATCCATGGAAAACAAGGCAGGCGACAAGATGCATCTATGACAATAAGAATGTGAACTGTGTTCTGGGCAAAGCATCCACAGCTACATGTGGTGACCCCAGAAAGGGACATGGCGGCCAGAGGGGCTGGTCCAAGCCTGGGGAAGTGTCA